ATAAACGTAGTTCAAAGTTTGCAAATGCAAATAATAGAATCAGAACTAGCTAGTCTTTTATTAAACTTAAATACGACACAAAATCTACTTGTTATTAGATGTTTTGAAATCTTGTAAAAGAAGTAGTTGAGCTATCCTACGTGGGAGAAGAAGCCCGCCCCCCCGAACAATGAAAAAAGTCTCGCCGCTCCAGTTGACGCGGTGGGAGGCATATGACGCACTTCCCTATGTAATAGTGATCTCAGCCACCCGCCCACAAAATAGTATCTTTTTTTTTAAAAAAAAAATCTTGTCTATTAAGGATTTACTTGTCAACATGTTGTTCTTAGAACTAACTAAGCCAAGTTTTTGTTGAATTGGAACATGGAACTATCCACTAAAGAATCAACTTGTCAACAGGCTTCGAAGAAGAGCACAATAACAAAATCTTTTGAAGAAAAGCAGCATGATAACTCCAAAAGAAAAGAATAAAGCTTGGGTTATTTGAGGTATCATCTCACAAATAAAAAACACAAATAAAGAATGAAATGATCAAGTGTCGCATCTCAAGCATTTTTATTCTTTAAAATTTATTTTTACCATAACATATATATCAAAACAATTTAAAAATATAATTTTTTTAAATTAATTAATTTTAAAAACCCCACCAAGCACTTGAATTTTTAAAATAAATGTAAACACCATATTACACTGACTAAAAAATTATTTATTTTTATATTTTAAAAATATTAATAAATTATGCACGCAAATCTCCTCGAACATGCATTAAAAATTGAGTGAGTAGTTCTAGCTTGTGCATGAACTTTAATTTTGAAATATTTTTATATTAACAAAAAAGGTTTGTATCTTAAAAAAACCGTATGAGTTCATAAACAATGAATTAGTTAAATAACAGTTCAGCCGAATTAATCATATTAATTATATCTATTTGTGCATGCATAGAGTATCATTTTAAAAAAAATTATTTTAATTTATATCGGATCGAGTTTTCATACAAAATCTATACACAATCACCGAATCTCAGTATCACATTTTCTCACTAAATAGATTATACATAGAATTAAGATAAAGAAACAATGTTTATAGTTATCAGATTTTGCAATATATCAAAAATAAAATATTGCAATACAGTATCAAAACAATACACTTCGATAATATTAGGCGTAAAAGATTGTATATAACAATATAATTACAACAGCAAATATATATATGTCAGCACCCATATCGCAATTATTTAAATTGAACAGCATGACCGAAGCTTAATGACTGGTTAATTAATTATTTGTATGCGATTTGTAGATAACACGAACGCTTTTATTTTTCCTAAATGATCTCGAGAGTTGGATGCTTCCTAACACGCTTTTATTTGCTAACAGGATATATAGAGAAGCGTGTCTACAAATAAAAGCGTGTTAGGAAGCATCAAACTCTCATAGAAGTCCTGTGTGCTTGTCTTGAAAGGAGTTGGTTACAAAAAAAAAACGTTGTATAACTGTCCCAATCATTCATGTCATGAGAAAACCAACAGGAATATTCTACTAATAGAAGTCTGGGAGGGTATACGGCTAACTCCTGTGCTCTAGTCGCTGGACCATAACGCATCAGGTTTTGTCGCAT